TGTGTGAAAAAGATGGATATAAAATGGAAAAAATGAAGAAGGCAACTTTTACTGACCTATACATTTTTATCACAAGAATCCGGATCCTACAATAAGTCTAAGGACAGCATTGACAAAATGAGACAAAAAAACAATAAGTATCTTTTTCGAATAAGAGCACTCCTCGTTCAAACTGATGCTACCGGCTGAATCTAACGCCTGTATTCTAAAAGCTCCCTAGCCCTCACACTCATACTAAAAGTATGGAAGCTCATCTTCCATAAATTCAAATCACCGCTCATCGAGTCTGCACTCACACCAACACACACACTCTAGCTATTCGAAAACAGCACTCGCACTAAAATAAAGCTCAAATTTGGAGTGCAGTGTTCCTGCTGATTCCTGCTGATATTCATGTATTTAATTATACTGGATAGAGCATGCATTAAAAACATACGTACTTGTTTTTATTCATAATTATAATGGGGTGAGTAATTAATTTGGTTAGTTGTACTTCTTGGCGCGTGTTTGGACTATGTTGTTAGTCCTGTGTGGTTTTTATGGCCTTCTTCATTATATTCCAATATTCAAATTTCTCGTCTAGCACTTCCATTTTCCTTTTGTGTTCAATTAACAAAATATTTTTCTTGATACGCAAGAGCTCCATCTCCGCTTCATGCTGTTTGCTTAACATGTTCAAACAACGCTCTTGGGCCACAGATATTGGAGATGTACTTGTAAACGCCCGTGTAAGAGCAGCCTCGACGACAGTGGTCGGCAATTGATGTAGGTTTGGCGTAGCTCTAATTGTCGCCACGTACCGAATCAATTTCAACGCCGTCATTTTCTATAAATAAACAACTGAATAAAAATGTCATATTTTTATGCCTATAATATAACATGTCTAAACCAAATACTATTTAACCAATTTAACCAAAATATAATCAGCCTTCGGTGGATAACACAAACCTCGGTCTTGATAATGCTCGATATCGTAATCAACCTCATTCAATAATTGTTTATTATTAATTCCTAATCCTTTAACCCTTACGGTCTAATGCGGTGAAAAAGGAACGAATAAGTTATTTCAAAACATACTTTGTTCTGCTGATATTAATGTTACAAATAAAGTTGATTTTGTTGTTATGTGTGGAGATATGGGTTGGTTGGAGGTTACTGTTCGCTCAGTTGGTGCAGAGGTCTTTGTTTGCTCAGTTGGTACAAAGATCTTTGTTTTCTCAGTTGGTATGAAGATCTTTGTTAGTCCAGTAGGGGAAGGCACGTCTTTTAGCTCAGTTGGGACAGAGACGCCTGTTAGCTCAGTCGGTACAGAAACCTTTGCTCGCTCAGATTGTACATTGACAGTGTCTGGACAGAATGAAGTATATAAACTTTTATTTAAACTCTCATTAATAATACATGAAGAAGAAAACCGCAAGGGACTGGTAAACGAAGACGAACCATAGGTTATACAGGGTGTATAAAAAAATGTACAAAATTCTTCATTTAAATTCAAATTATCCATAACCTTTTAAATATTCGTTGCTCTGCAGTAAGCTGGCCCATTTTATATCTTATGCAGACTTGAACAATGCAGAATTTAAACATTTTCCTACGAGTTGTGTATGTATATATAGCTATGATAAACACCAAGAAGGAGGGATTATGTCAGATAATGACTACGTCCGAGGGCATTATTTGGCATAAATCCCAACTTTCGACTGAGGTGTTTATCATATTTAATTCTTGAATGAGAAGTTTTTCCAACAAAGTTTTGATTGTTTTGTCTGCTTTAAACGACGATTTTCAGAGTTTTCCTTCATCTTTTCAGCTAATTAAATAATATTCAAGGTGATTATTAAAAATAATCACCTCGGTACATGAAAGAAAACCGACTTAATCATTAATTATTCATAGAAATACAAGTTATCCTAAATTCTCAGGTGCAGAAGACCTTGCGTTTTCACGCCTTCGTTAATTCGAGAAATTATACGGCTGTCAAATTACTACAATATGTTACGGTTAATTTGAAATTGAAAGTGCGTACATTTTTTTTATATACACCCCGTATTATAACATATTGCTCATAATGTACATATTATTTACTATCTGCTAACCGCTTTAACCCTTTAGCGGTACAGTAGGTATAATCTACTGCGGAGAAAAGGGCATGAGTAAAATTAAGACATCGTTGCAACGAAATACAAAATAGGAAAGTTATTTTTAAACATACTTGACTCTGTTGTTGTTACTATTGCAGACGAAATTGTTTTTGTTGTTATCTGCAGCGATTTAGGTTGGCCAGAGGTTGTTGGCTCAGAGACCTTCGTTCGTTCAGTTTGTACAGAAACAGCGTCTAAACGAAATGAAGAATTAATATAGTCACGTATGCCTATAACAAATGGAATCAATGGTTTAGAATTATGGGTACGTATGTTATAGAGAACATCCGCTGACTAAGGGTCGCAAGCTTTTTGTTATGTGAGCACCAAAGCAGTTTAGCAGGTAATTAACTGGGTCTGAATGCATTCATATGAAACTTTGTGTAGCTTATATATTACTGATACCTTGCACTATCATTTTTATAACAGCTACCTGCAGACCATATTCCAAGAACTTTTGCACGCAGGCATTTTCTATGGTAATATTGGACATGCTTTATCCCTGAAATCTTCACCTCACAGTAGAGATTGAATGTAATTATCGTCCCTTGCAAATTTGGAACTGATCTTTTCCACTTTGAAAGAAAGAAAAAACAAACGAAATTTATTAAACAATATAGTTAAAGACAAATAGGAATAAATATGTTTACGTACTTTAAAATAAATGGCGTTGTTAGAGACGTTCAAATCAACGTAAGATTCATCCAACCATTGCTGCTCCATTTCTGTAGCGTTGTCTGGAAACTTTACCTGGGTATGCCTCAAAGAACAACTATTCATCACTACTTTTGGATTATCAATGTCACTGAATTTTCTGGCTGATTCTCCCCGCTTGTAAGAAATAAGTTTAAAAGGGCCCAATGCGCAGTAGTTGAAGGACCCTCCTATTTTAGAATGAAAGTTAAAATAAGATTGATTTTTTGAGCACGATGAACTAAACAAATTTTGTAACCGATTGGTAAGTCACCCACTCGCGCCGTCTCAAGATTTGCAAGGTGTCTTTCATATGCCGTATATTTGAGAGTTTAAGATCTACGACTCGCTTTCGAAACAAACAAATTTGCTATGTAGGACAAAAACTGTGAATAATTTAATTGTGGTCCCAGATGTATTCTCAACGGCTTTGTCAATCTTAACACATCGTTAAACTAAGCATCATCACGTCTGTCAACCAACGTGAAAGCTTATTGCAACCCAAGAGGTGTTATTTAAAGTCGAAATTACAGCAAACATTGAATCGCTTTACCCGAGGTAAGCCGTTTGTAAGGTCATTTGAAAAGGCTTCACACATTTATTACGGTACTCCGGTCAAATTGCTTAGCTCTTCCGTTGCATCAGCTGGAATTCGTGACCACGTCGTTGAGCCGGCCGCTTCGTAAATCTTAACAACTTTGTATGATTTCTATTTTATCCAAATATGATGCTACAAGGAATGGAGTTTGGATTAAAGTTAGACGACGGCGTTTCCATAGCCGGAGTAATTACGGTAAGATTGTTGTGTTTAGTATAAACACGTATTTGTCTGTAAATATTATCACATAATGTCAGATTAGCATAGCGCAAAAGCCTAATGCAAGCTTTATGTAATTATGTATAATAATCATTAATGGGATTTAATAATTCAATTATTTAATGTACTGTAGATTATGAAACAAGTTTAAATGTTCAGCTGTAAAGTTGAAATGAACAACTAGGACTCACCAACTCCAGCGCGGATACTCCCACTGTAGATACAGCCATGACCTTTATCATTGCCAGGTCTTGTAGTAGGATTTCTTAAATTAGGTTTCGAAACACTGCACAAACACAGACCATTAGATTTAATCCATTTTGCTTGGGAATTCACGCAAACACTTGTGTCATACGTACAACCGTCTTTCCCAACACGGAAGCTGTCGATAACGTTTCGATTGACCAGAACTACTTCGCAGCTAGTCATAAGTACTTTGCAAGACAAACAAATAGCCCACACTATCACAAATGTGTATTTCAAAGACATTATTATTGATAAATATCAGGGACACGCGGTGAATAAACACGAATTCTTATTGTATTTCTTTACAAACTGCTACACAATGAAGCTAACATTTTGTATGTAAGAGCTAGAATCATGAGTATTTGTCGTCCGGTTTGAATTTATAAACACTCTGTTCTTGAAAGTGAAACAGCGTGATATCACGTTTTACACCAAACCCACATGGCAAAGAGCCAGAGCTGTAGCCAGGATTTCTAGTCAAGGGCGGCCGAAAAATCCCTGGGGAGAAAAATATCCCGGGGGAAGTTTGCTTATTGTGTCAAAATGTATTTGGACTCCAGCGCTATCCACGCTAAATATGGTAGAATAAACTTTTAGGGTGGTCTAGGATGCTCCCCCGAGAAAAAATTTAATTATAGAGTTACATGCATGCAACAATCCCTCGTCTATATTTTCCAAACATTGTTTCAACATGAATTAAGTGTTCGTAATTACGCCAACACTGAACGCAGGCTCGCGTTGCCACGTCATGTTAGTCATGGCAACACGATAATTGTTTTTAATTTTTTAATTTTTTTATACAAACCTGCAAAAAATAGATGAAATGTGAACACTTTTAAATACAGAACTATAAAACCCAAAAATGTCGACCCTCTTTCAGTTAGGGCCCAAAAATTTTAGCCCTCCACAAAATGACAGCCCAGAAAATTTGGAACCCCTCCCCCTTAGATAGCTCCCTTCCAATTAGTGAAGCATCAAATAGCGACATAATTTCTTCAATAAAATATTGCTATATAGTAAATAACATTCCTATACATGCATTAAATAGTACATCATTTGAAATCGTCATGTAAAATCTATAGCACTGGCTCGTCCCTTCCATGTCCGGCAAACTCTACGAGACCTTATGGTCTGCAAAAGATTGGAAATGTTCTCATCCTCCTCCTCGCCTTTTCCTGCATCACCTTCATAAATTTGTCCTTCATCGTCGTCGGAATCAATATCATTCCCATCACAACATCGTCATCACCAGAATCCTGGTCGTTACTATTTCTGTCATGCATCATCAGAAAGTTTACGGTTTAAAAAGTGTAATTCTTGGTTGGATCCCAAATCCCCGCACTGAAATGAACAGGTCATACAACAGAATTTACACTTACGAATTATTTTATTTGGAACGGGTCGGCTATTTTGCTGAAACCAATAAAGGTTTCAAGAAAACCTTCCACGCTGAAGCTAGAAGAGAGCACTGTACGACCATGAAGAGGGTAGTACAGATAAAAAAAAACAAGTGGACCAACTTAAATCTGAAAAGTATCCTTTCATTCAGGGCTAGAATTTTCCTCAGGGAAGATCATGTCCTAAAACCTCATGACTCCAAAACTATAAGACAGAATATGCTGGCAATTGAAAACATTGAAACGTCTATTGATAAGATGGAAAAAAGCATCAAAGAACACATGGAAAAAACTATTCGTTCATCGTGAATTTTGATCGGACGCAAAACAGCACATGATTTTGACGAAAGTTAGCTAACCGTACCTGCAGGCTCTTAGAAGTGAGTTAAACAATATACATGCTAGACGTAAAGATCTTGAGAAAACATGTAATTTAGCATTAAAACACATTTTCTCCTCTATGAGAAGGAAGTCTCGCTCGAAGAAGCAAAACAGCAGCAAGAGCAAGAAAAGGAAGAAGAATCGAAATGTATAGCAAGAATTGCAGAGCTTTTAAAGAATATTGCTCAAGGGTGCAAGGAAGGAAAGGCATGTGCAAAAGACAATTTCATCAAGGAACTTGGAAAGAGAGAAAGAAAATGGGCAATAGCTTTGACATCTTCAAGGTGTAATTTACTTGATGGCAGTGCCAAATTCATGGTATGCAACATTTTAGATGTTGGTGGAAATGCCAGTGACGACAGTGGAAGTTGGTATGAAGTTGATCAGGATGGTAGTAGACGTGATGACAATGCAAGTGATTATTGTGAAAGTGATGTTGGTAGAACTGATAATATAAATAGAAGTGATGTTGCTGTGATGATGGAAGTGTTGGTAGGGAAGGTGGCCATGCTTGGGCAGTTTGATTGGGTTTGAAAAGGAAATTGCTGATGATGACAGTAATAATTCATACGATTTTGATCTATACTTGGAAACCTCTGCATGTATGTATACTTTACTGTCAACCAATATCTGTCTGATCACGTAAATGTTTTTATATTACAAACCATATATTTGTAAGATTTCCGTTTATTAGATTTTATTGTAACGTATATTATTGACATTAAACAATGTACACTAGTGGCGGAAATCTTGGTGGGGCTGGGGTGTTGGGGTTGGGGGGAGGGGGGGTGGTTGGCGGGCGGCTGCCGCCCCCCACTTTCACAGAAAAGTGTCAAATTTTCGGAAATTTTGACCTAAAATAGGGCTAAAAACAGTCTTTTCGAGTACAAATGGGG